CACTGCGTGCGGACTGAGGATGGAGTGTGTGAGCTGCCGAGTGTTGTGTTGGAGTAGCAGTAACATACCTGAGAGAAGGGCTACCCGACGGTGCAGGGTAGAGACGGCCTCCGGAGCGTCTGAGCACAGCCTCCTTTAGGATCCTGCGTCGTGAAGCGGAGGTTTTTGACCGGGATGACCGGGCGAAAGAGATCCGTATCAGGGAGACTCGAAGCCGCAGGTGCATCCGCTGGATGGACCGGAGTGTCGTTAGACAAGGCTGCATAGCGGTTGGAGAGGCCAAAGGACGGAGGAGAGGCAGCCCCATCAGAGCCTCTCTTGCAGCCACGGATCTGCAACCACTTCAGCCCAGGTTGACTGATGCTTCGGAGTCGAGCAGGAGGAAAGCACAAGTATTAATACGTACCATCTGTACTCAGCGTTACTGAGAACAAGTATTAATACACACCATCTGTACTCAGCGTTACTGAGGACAAGTTTTCATACGCACCATCTGTATTCGGCGTTACAGCCACGGATCACCACTTCAGCCCAGGTTGACTGATGCTTCGGAGTCGAGCAGGAGGAAAGCACAAGTATTAATACGTACCATCTGTACTCAGCGTTACTGAGAACAAGTATTAATACACACCATCTGTACTCAGCGTTACTAAGGACAAGTTTTCATACGCACCATCTGTATTCGGCGTTACAGCCACAGATCACCACTTCAGCCCAGGTTGACTGATGCTTCAGAGTCGAGCAGGAGGAAAGCCTCGGAGGGCTAGAGGGGTCCCATAACACGGTGTCCTGGACGTTAGCGGTTGCGCTAAGAGAAACAATCTGTTTGGCTTGTACTGAAGCCACATCCATAAAGCCAGTCAGCAGGGAATCTTTTTCTTTGAGTTCCTCTGAAAGTTGTCGGATGTCTTCCATAAGGTCAGCAATCTTCTTCTTCGCTTTCTTAAGGAACAGAGTTATCTCGGCTAGCAAAGTCACCGGAGCTTTGTTGTGATCAGGAGCGTTGATCACGTTTTTACAGAAATCTAGCCTAAAATCCATGTCGGATGACTAAAATACTTAACCTTACACACCATTTGTACTCACCGTTACTGAGAACAGGTATTAATACATAACATCTGTACTCAGCGTTACTGAGTAGTATTAATACACACCATTTGTACTCAGCGTTACTGATTAGTATTAATACACACCATCTGTACTCAGCGTTACTGAGAACAGGTATTAATACACACCATCTGTACTCAGCGTTACTGAGAACAAGTATTAATATACACCATCTGTATTCAGCGTTACTGAGTAGTATTAATACACACCATTTGTACCCAGAAGTATTAATACACACCATCTGTACTCAGCGTTACGGAGGACAAGTATTACTACACACCATTTGTACTCAGCGTTAGTGAGTAGTATTAATACACACCATCTGTACTCAGCGTTACTGAGAACAAGTATTAATACACACCATCTGTACTCAGCATTACTGAGAAAAGGTATTAATACACACCATCTGTACTCAGCGTTACTGAGAAGTATTAATACACACCATCTGTACTCAGCGTTACTGAGAACAAGTATTAATACACACCATCTGTACTCAGCGTTACTGAGGACAAGTATTAATACGCGCCATCTTTACTCGGCGTAACGAAGGACAAGTATTAATACACACCATCTGTACTCAGCGTTACTGAGGACAAGCATTACTACACACCATCTGTACTCAGCGTTACTGAGTAGTATTAATACACACCATCTGTACTCAGCGTTACTGAGTAGTATTAATACACACCATCTGAACTCAGCGTTACTGAGTAGTATTAATACACACCATCTGTAATCAGCGTTACTGAGGACAAGTATTAATACACACCATCTGTACTCGGCGTTACTAAGGACAATTATTAATATGCACAATGTGAGCTCAGCGTTACTAAAGACAAGAATTAATACGCGCCATCTTTACTCGGCGTAACTAAGGACAAGTATTAATACACACCATCTGTACTCAGCGTTACTGAGGAGAAGTATTAATATGCACCATCTGTACTCAGCGTTACTGAGTACTATTAATAAGCGCCATCTGGACTGGGCGTTACTAAGGACAATTATTAATACGCGCAATTTTTAATCGGCGTTACTAAGGACAATTATTAATGCGCGCCATCTGTACTGGGCCTTACTAAGGACAATTATTAATACGCGCCATCCGTACTGGGCGTTACTAAGGACAATTATTAATGCGCGCCATCTGTACTGGGCGTTACTAAGGACAATTATTAATGCGCGTCATCTGTACTGGGCGTTACTAAGGACAATTATTAATACGCGCCATCTGTACTGGGCTTTACTAAGGAAAATTATTAATACGCGCCATCTGTAATGGGCGTTACTAAGGACAATTATTAATACGCGCCATCTGTACTGGGCGTTACTAAGGACAATTATTAATACGCGCCATCTGTACTGGGCGTTACTAAGAACAAGTATTCATAAGCGCCATCTGTACTCAGCGTTACTGAGAAGTATTAATACGTACCATGTGTGCTCAGCGTTACTGAGTATTATTAATACACACATTCTGTAATCAGCGTTACTGAGGAAAAGTATTAATACACACCATCTGTACTCGGCGTTACTAAGGACAAGTATTAATAAGCGCCATCTTTACTGGGCGTTACTAAGGACAAGTATTAATACGCACCATCTGTACTCGGCGTTACTAAGGACAATTATTAATATGCGCCATTTGTACTCAGCGTTACTAAGGACAAGTATTACTACACACCATCTGTACTCAGCGTTAATGAGGACAAGTATTACTAAACACCATCTGTACTCAGCGTTACTGAGTACTATTTATGCACACCATCTGTATTCGGCGTTACAAAGGAAAATTATTAATATGCACAATGTGTGCTCAGCGTTACTAAAGACAAGTATTAATTAGCTCCATCTGTACTCAGCATTACTGAGGACAAGTATTACTACACACCATCTGTACTCAGCGTTACTGAGGAAAAGTATTAATACACACCATCTGTACTCAGCGTTATTGAGTAGTAATATACACCATCTGTACTCAGCGTTACTCAGCACAAGTATTACTACACACCATCTGTACTCAGCGTTACTGAGTAGTATTAATACACACCATCTGTACTCAGCGTTACTGAGTAGTATTAATACACACATTCTGTACTCTGCGTTACTAAGGACAAGTATTAATATGCACAATGTGTGCTCAGCGTTACTAAAGACAAGTATTAAAAAGCGCCATCTGTACTGGGCGTTACTAAGGACAAGTATTAATACGCGCAATTTTTAATCGGCGTTACTACGGAAAATTATTAATATGCACCATCTGTACTCGTCGTTACTAAGAATAAGTATTAATACACACCATCTGTACTCAGCGTTGTGTGTGGACCGCACCACATGCTGTATGTGCGCAGCTAACATTTCTGAGCCCTGTTTGTTTGGGTCAAGTCCGTATGTCTTAAAAAGAGGCATTCTTTGCCAGAAAATATTAAAATTATCCACATTACACACACGATGAGCCCTGCAGGCGGACTGGAGCCAGTCATGGAGGCCAAGGATTCTACTGAAGCGGCCGGCACCGCGACCAACTGTGGGAATGGGACCAGAGACAAAAACAGACTTTCCACACTGCTTTAAAAAGTTAAAACGACGGTTAAAATCTGATTTTGTCAGTTCAGACTGCTGAAGAGCTGTGTCATTTGTTCCGACATGGACTATCACTCTTGTGATGGAGGACGGGAGCGATGGCATTAGGTCCTGGAGTTTTTTTTAAATGTCAGCCGTGGTGGCACCGGGGAAGCAGTGAGAGGTAGCGTTAAAGAAACGGATGTTTCTGGTTATGGAGTCACCAATTATTAGTGTGGTTGGGGAGAAAAGGGGACGAGGAGATGCCGGTTGTGGGGTTCCAGAGCAGGACTGAGCAGAATCTGCTTCAACACTGCGTGCGGACTGAGGATGGAGTGTGTGAGCTGCCGAGTGTTGTGTTGGAGTAGCAGTAACATACCTGAGAGAAGGGCTACCCGACGGTGCAGGGTAGAGACGGCCTCCGGAGCGTCTGAGCACAGCCTCCTTTAGGATCCTGCGTCGTGAAGCGGAGGTTTTTGACCGGGATGACGGCCGCCGATCAGGCCCAGCGACAGACCGGCGGTCCAGTGCAGGAGATGTAGCCGATGGAGGAGATGCAACAGTGTCGGCAGGCACTGTGCGGCGAAAGAGATCCGTATCAGGGAGACTCGAAGCCGCAGGTGCATCCGCTGGATGGACCGGAGTGTCGTTAGACAAGGCTGCATAGCGGTTGGAGAGGCCGATGGACAGAGGAGAGGCAGCCCCATCCGAGCCTCTCTTGCAGCCACGGATCTGCAACCACTTCAGCCCAGGTTGACTGATGTTTCGGAGTCGAGCAGGAGGAAAGCACAAGTATTAATACGTACCATCTGTACTCAGCGTTACTAAGGACAAGTATTAATACACGCAAACTTTACTTGGTGTTACTGAGGACAAGTATTAATACGCACCATCAGCACTCGGCGTTACTAAAGACAAGTATTAATACACACCATCTGCAGTCAGCGTTTATATCATTATTTTATAGTGTAAAGTTAGGATCACAGTGTTAAAACTCTACAGCTCTGAGTGTATGTGCTCCTTTCTGTATCTAACTGCCCAGGCACGTGTGTGTGTGAGCAAGTTTGTGTGCTTTGGGAGAAAAGGGAGGGAGCATCAAAAATACCTTGCAAAGGAAAATGTAGAAGCAGATTTTGTATTACAAAACATACATCAATATAGTCCATCACAGTAAGAATGTCCTGTTTCTAGCACAGAGCACAAAAAACACCAGTTTATTCCACAAAAGTCAGGTTATGGAAGAAATGGCATGATCAAGCAGAGTGCATGCAGAGGACACAGAGAGGAGGAGCAGGCAGTCAGGGACTTTCCAAGACTCAGGTGCAGTAGGAAAGAGCCAAGAGATGATGTGAATCCAAGAAACAGAGCTATAAAAGGAGGTCCAAAAGGAGGTGAAATTCAGTCGTTACATGTATTAGTACGCACCATCAGCACTCGGCGTTACTGAGGACAAGTATTAGTACGCACCATCAGCACTCGGCGTTACTGACGACAAGTATTAATACGCACCATCAGCACTCGGCGTTACTGACGACAAGTATTAATACGCACCATCTGTACTCAGCGTTACTGAGGACAAGTATTAATACGCACCATCTGTACTCGGCGTTACTAAGGACAAGTATTAATACGCACCATCTGTACTCGGCATTACTAAGGACAAGTATTAATACGCACCATCTGTACTCGGCGTTACTAGGGACAAGTATTAATACGCACCATCTGTACTCGGCGTTACTAAGGACAAGTATTAATACGCACCATCTGTACTCGGCGTTACTAAGGACAAGTATTAATACGCACCATCTTTACTCGGCATTACTGAGGACAAGTATTAATACGCACCATCTTTACTCGGCATTACTAAGGACAAGTATTAATACGCACCATCTGTACTCGGCGTTACTAGGGACAAGTATTAATACGCACCATCTGTACTCGGCGTTACTAGGGACAAGTATAAATACGCACCATCTGTACTCGGCGTTACTAGGGACAAGTATTAATACGCACCATCTGTACTCGGCGTTACTAAGGACAAGTATTAATACGCACCATCTGTACTCGGCGTTACTAAGGACAAGTATTAATACGCACCATCTTTACTCGGCATTACTGAGGACAAGTATTAATACGCACCATCTGTACTCGGCGTTACTGCACCATCTGTACTCGGCGTTACTAGGGACAAGTATTAATACGCACCATCTGTACTCGGCGTTACTAGGGACAAATATTAATACGCACCATCTGTACTCGGCGTTACTAAGGACAAGTATTAATACGCACCATCTGTACTCGGCGTTACTAAGGACAAGTATTAATACGCACCATCTTTACTCGGCATTACTGAGGACAAGTATTAATACGCACCATCTGTACTCGGCGTTACTGAGGAGAAGTATTAATACGCACCATCTGTACTCGGCGTTACTAAGGACAAGTATTAATACGCACCATCTGTACTCGGCGTTACTAAGGACAAGTATTAATACGCACCATCTTTACTCGGCATTACTAAGGACAAGTATTAATACGCACCATCTGTACTCGGCGTTACTGAGGAGAAGTATTAATACGCACCATCTGTACTCGGCGTTACTAAGGACAAGTATTAATACGCACCATCTGTACTCGGCGTTACTAAGGACAAGTATTAATACGCACCATGTTTACTCGGCGTTACTAAGGACAAGTATTAATACGCACCATCTGTACTCGGCGTTACTGAGGAGAAGTATTAATACGCACCATCTGTACTCGGCGTTACTAAGGACAAGTATTAATACGCACCATCTGTACTCGGCGTTACTGAGGACAAGTATTAATACGCACCATCTGTACTCAGCGTTACTGAGGACAAGTATTAATACGCACCATCTTTACTCAGCGTTACTAAGGACAAGTATTAATACACACCATCTGTACTCGGCGTTACTGAGGACAAGTATTAATACACACCATCTGTACTCGGCGTTACTGAGGACAAGTATTAATACGCACCATCTGTACTCGGCGTTACTAAGGACAAGTATTAATACGCACCATCTGTACTCAGCGTTACTGAGGACAAGTATTAATACGCACCATCAGCACTCAGCGTTACTGAGGACAAGTATTAATACGCACCATCTGCAGTCAGCGTTTATATCATTATTTTATAGTGTAAAGTTAGGATCACAGTGTTAAAACTCTACAGCTCTGAGTGTATGTGCTCCTTTCTGTATCTAACTGCCCAGGCACGTGTGTGTGTGAGCAAGTTTGTGTGCTTTGGGAGAAAAGGGAGGGAGCATCAAAAATACCTTGCAAAGGAAAATGTAGAAGCAGATTTTGTATTACAAAACATACATCAATATAGTCCATCACAGTAAGAATGTCCTGTTTCTAGCACAGAGCACAAAAAACACCAGTTTATTCCACAAAAGTCAGGTTATGGAAGAAATGGCATGATCAAGCAGAGTGCATGCAGAGGACACAGAGAGGAGGAGCAGGCAGTCAGGGACTTTCCAAGACTCAGGTGCAGTAGGAAAGAGCCAAGAGATGATGTGAATCCAAGAAACAGAGCTATAAAAGGAGGTCCAAAAGGAGGTGAAATTCAGTCGTTACATGTATTAGTACGCACCATCAGCACTCGGCGTTACTGAGGACAAGTATTAGTACGCACCATCAGCACTCGGCGTTACTGAGGACAAGTATTAGTACGTACCAACTTTACTCAGCGTTACTGAGGGCAAGTATTAATACACACCATCTGTACTCAGCATTCCTGAGGACAAGGATTAATACACACCATCTGTACTCGGCGTTACTAAGGACAAGTATTAATACGCACCATCTGTACTCAGCGCTACTGAGGACAAGTATTAATACGCACCATCAGCACTCGGCGTTACTGAGGACCAGTATTAATACACGCAAATTTTACTCAGCGTTACTGAGGACAAGTATTACTACACACCATCAGCACTCGGCGTTACTGAGGACAAGTATTACTACGCACCATCAGCACTCGGCGTTACTGAGGACAAGTATTAATACGCACCATCAGCACTCGGCGTTACTGAGGACAAGTATTAATACGCACCATCAGCATTCGGCGTTACTGAGGACCAGTATTAATACACGCAAATTTTACTCAGCGTTACTGAGGACAAGTATTACTACGCACCATCAGCACTCGGCGTTACTGAGGACAAGTATTACTACGCACCATCAGCACTCGGCGTTACTGAGGACAAGTATTAATACGCACCATCAGCACTCGGCGTTACTGAGGACAAGTATTAATACGCACCATCAGCATTCGGCGTTACTGAGGACAAGTATTAATACACGCAAATTTTACTCAGCGTTACTGAGGACAAGTATTACTACACCATCAGCACTCGGCGTTACTGAGGACAAGTATTAATACGCACCATCAGCACTCGGCGTTACTGAGGACAAGTATTAATACGCACCATCAGCATTCGGCGTTACTGAGGACAAGTATTAATACACGCAAATTTTACTCAGCATTACTGAGGACAAGTATTACTACACACCATCAGCACTCGGCGTTACTGAGGACAAGTATTACTACACACCATCAGCACTCGGCATTACTGAGGACAAGTATTACTACGCACCATCAGCACTCGGCGTTACTGAGGACAAGTAATACGCACCATCAGCACTCGGCGTTACTGAGGACAAGTATTAATACACGCAAACTTTACTCAGCGTTACTGAGGACAAGTATTAATACGCACCATCAGCACTCGGCGTTACTGAGGACAAGTATTAATACACACCATCTGTACTCAGCGTTACTGAGGACAAGTATTAATACGCACCATCAGCACTCGGCGTTACTGAGGACAAGTATTAATACGCACCATCAGCACTCGGCGTTACTGAGGACAAGTATTAATACACCATCTGTACTCAGCGTTACTGAGGACAAGTATTAATACGCACCATCAGCACTCGGCGTTACTGAGGACCAGTATTAATACACGCAAATTTTACTCAGCGTTACTGAGGACAAGTATTACTACACACCATCAGCACTCGGCGTTACTGAGGACAAGTATTACTACGCACCATCAGCACTCGGCGTTACTGAGGACAAGTATTACTACGCACCATCAGCACTCGGCGTTACTGAGGACAAGTATTACTACGCACCATCAGCACTCGGCGTTACTGAGGACAAGTATTACTACACACCATCAGCACTCGGCGTTACTGAGGACAAGTATTACTACACACCATCAGCACTCGGCGTTACTGAGGACAAGTATTACTACGCACCATCAGCACTCGGCGTTACTGAGGACAAGTATTACTACGCACCATCAGCACTCGGCGTTACTGAGGACAAGTATTACTACGCACCATCAGCACTCGGCGTTACTGAGGACAAGTATTAATACGCACCATCAGCACTCGGCGTTACTGAGGACAAGTATTAATACGCACCATCAGCATTCGGCGTTACTGAGGACAAGTATTAATACACGCAAATTTTACTCCGCGTTACTGAGGACAAGTATTACTACACACCATCAGCACTCGGCGTTACTGAGGACAAGTATTACTACGCACCATCAGCACTCGGCGTTACTGAGGACAAGTATTAATACGCACCATCAGCACTCGGCGTTACTGAGGACAAGTATTAATACACGCAAACTTTACTCAGCGTTACTGAGGACAAGTATTACTACACACCATTTGCAATCAGCATTGCTGAGTAGTATTAATACGCACCATCATCACTCGGCGTTACTGAGGACCGTTGTGAAAAAACGCCTGCGCGGCCGAACACATCACTTTTATGCCAACGTGCCTCCAATTAGGTTAAGACCAAGTCAGCTAACCAACATCTGATCCAGCGTCTTAGTTTAACTCCAGTGTAGCGGGCGGAGTTTGTTCCCCTCAGTTCACTCTAGGCTGAACCCCACTCGTTGTCCAGGCCTCTGGTCTTTATTGAAAGCGCTCTGAGGTAACGGCTGTTATATAAATAAAATGTAACTTTAATGCACCAAAAATATAGATCCAAAAATAAATGTTTCTGCAGCCTTAATAAGATCATCAAGACTCAAATACAGAAAACAACTTTTAATTTGAAATTACAAACAGGCTTCCTGTTCAGGTATTTACAGCTGCAAAAACATAACATCTTTATAAAAAACAACAAACAGTCCTCTTTTTTTCTGCGTCCGTGCAGTCCATTGTTATTAGACTCGCAGAATGCTTTGCGTTCAGACAGGTGTCACGTGGGTAGAGTCCATTTCCTGTTCACCTGCTGATATGGCATCCTTACTGACACGTCGCTGTCCTTCTGTTTCTTCTTCTTCGCACTTTCGACCTGCAGGACATGACAGCTCGTTACTCATTGTACAACTCTGACGATCGATAAAGTTTCTTATCGTTCATTTAATCTGCCAACAACAACGACATCGATACTTAAAGGTCAGCTGTGATTGGCTGACAACCCGGTTCATAGGATCGTGTACCGGGGTGCTCAGAGACCGGCGTGTTGGTCGCTGCATGACGAGGGAACGCTGAACTCAAAGTTAACTCACCTCTGTCGTAGGCTCCGTCCCCTCCTCTTCAGGCTCCGTGGCTGCACCGCCAGGCCCCGCCTCCTCCAGTTTTGCCCTCTTCTCTTTCTTCACGTCCTCTGCAGACGGCGTGCCGGGCGTCACAGCTTCGCCGTCGCTCTCTGCCGCCTCCCGCTTCCTCTGCAGAGCACAAAGGTCAAATACTCGTCAGCCAACACAAAGTCAGAAAAAAACGCCATCAGAAAAGGTGGTCGCTGTGACAAAGTGCTCTCACAGCGGCGTTCTGCCCGCCCCCTCATGAAGGTGAGCCCCCTCAGGTGTGGGAGGGCCCACCTCTGACTAGAGCACCAATTTAAACATTAGGTGTAAATTAAACTGTCAGCAGCCCTGAAGGTTCACAGATTCAGCCAATCAGGAGCCTCTGTGGATATTTATGTCAGCTTTATTTTCACATCGAGCCCGTCTGAAGCTCCTGGGGAAGAAACGCTTCTGATTGGTCGTCTGACCAGGTGAGTTTACCTTTGCTGAAGCAATCACTCACATGACTCCTCCGTCACCTTGGAGACCCTTTCAATGAAAAGAAACAAGATTTTAAATTGGTACACACCATCAGCACTCGGCGTTACTGAGGACAAGTATTAATACTCGGCGTTACTGAGGACAAGTATTAATACTCGGCGTTACTGAGGACAAGTATTAATACGCACCATCAGCACTCTGCGTTACTGAGGACAAATATTAATACAAAGCATCTGTACTCAGCGTTATTAAGAAAAATGTATTAGTACACACCATCAGTACTCTGCGTTACTGAGGACAAGTATTAATACAAAGCATCTGTACTCAGCGTTATTAAGAAAAATGTATTCGTACACACCATCAGTACTCTGCGTTACTGAGGACAAGTATTAATACGCACCATCTGCAGTCGGCGTTTATATCATTATTTTATAGTGTAAAGTTAGGATCACAGTGTTAAAACTCTACAGCTCTGAGTGTATGTGCTCCTTTCTGTATCTAACTGCCCAGGCACGTGTGTGTGTGAGCAAGTTCGTGTGCTTTGGGAGAAAAGGGAGGGAGCATCAAAAATACCTTGCAAAGGAAAATGTAGAAGCAGATTTTGTATTACAAAACATACATCAATATAGTCCATCACAGTAAGAATGTCCTGTTTCTAGCACAGAGCACAAAAAACACCAGTTTATTCCACAAAAGTCAGGTTATGGAAGAAATGGCATGATCAAGCAGAGTGCATGCAGAGGACACAGAGAGGAGGAGCAGGCAGTCAGGGACTTTCCAAGACTCAGGTGCAGTAGGAAAGAGCCAAGAGATGATGTGAATCCAAGAAACAGAGCTATAAAAGGCGAAATTCAGTCGTTACATGTATTAGTACGCACCATCAGCACTCGGCGTTACTGAGGACAAGTATTAATACGCACCATCAGCACTCTGCGTTACTGAGGACAAGTATTAATACGCACCATCAGCACTCGGCATTACTGAGGACAAATATTACTACGCACCATCTGTACTCAGCGTTATTAAGAAAAATGTATTAGTACGCACCATCAGCACTCGGCGTTACTGACGACAAGTATTAATACACGCAATCTTTACTCGGCGTTACTAAGGACAAGTATTAATACACGCCATCTGTACTCAGCGTTACTGAGGACCTTTGTGAAAAAACGCCTGCGCGGCCGAACACATCACTTTTATGCCAACGCGCCTCCAATTAGGTTAAGACTAAGTCAGCTAACCAACATCTGATCCAGCATCCTAGTTTAACACCAGTGTAGCGGGCGGAGTTTGTTCCCCTCAGTTCACGCTCTGGATCTGAGGTCAACAGGAAGTGATGCCGACCTTCTCTCCCATGACTCCAGACCGGACTCGCCTCAGTTCCTGCATCTGACCTCCGACCCCAGGACCAGACCCAGGTGAACACACAGAGTCCGGATGCAAAGTTCCCACCTCACAGCTCACCCAGAAGATGCCTGCAACACAGAATCACGTGACCTCTGACATCACCGTGACGTCACTGATGAACCTAATCAATAGTCGTTAGATACGTGACTGCCGATCAGTGATCTTACCCAGCCTCCTCTCGGGGTCGTATTCGATCAGTTTGCTCTCGTAGATCGTTCGGACTCTCAGCTGACGTTTCACGGCGGCGATAAGCAGCAGTCGCTGGAACAGAGCGTCAGTGTCTGCAGGGCCTGCAGAGCTTAGAGGGTTACATGACAGCCAGCCAATCAGAGCAGAACAATCAAGAAAATATCCAATCAGGAAGTGGTCAGACTTACCCGAGCCAGTGCGTGTTCGCTCTGTATCGCATTGTGCAGCCGAACGATTCCCACATACTCTTTACCTGCAACAAACACAGAGTAGTGAGGGGGCTGCTGGGCTTCAGTGTGCTCACATACCACATGGAGACGTTTCTTAGTCTACAGAAACAGGAAGTGGTCACTGTACCGGCACTTTGCTGGGACTTGACCAGTCGCGTGGCTCGATCCAAGCAGACGATCAGAAACCCGGTGACCTTCGGGTCGAGCGTCCCAGTACCCATAGGATCCTCCTGATCCACGCCACAACCTCGTGAGACGACAGGTTCGCCGGTTTGTCCAGGTTGATGAACCCCGTCCTGACAGGAAGCAGAATAAACATCTATTCAAGCATTATTAGCTTAGCATTAGCTGAAGGTTACCAGACAGTGCTGTTTGCATGTTAGCTTAGCATCACTCGGTTACCTGACATAGTCATGGATGTTCCTCTTCAGAGGGTTGCTACCAAGCGGCAGAGGTGTGTAATGAGCTGTCCGGATGTTCAGTTTATCAAAATTCTGCAGGAAACAAAATGAAAGTTATCAGATTTCACTTTCTGTATGAAGACAGGAAAACACATAGCCAGGCTCTTATTTTGGTAGCGCCGTCAGTTTCGTGCTCTGAAACTGATGCGTCCCGTGTTTGATATTTTATCTGCTTGTTGTTCCAAAGTGATAAATTTTCGTATTTTAAACTAATCTGCTATAAGTCTTAGCACCATGTGATCAGTACAGGAAGTCGTCTTGGTGGCACTCGCGTCGAGTCATGCTCTCTGTGCAGTTTCGGTCATCGCCAGGCAGAACGCCGAGACGACGTCGGCACCGCGGTGGAGAGGCCCCCAGAACGGGGGCAGAGGCGGAGACCGCGACAAGATGGCCGCTCAGAGAATGAATAAACTGGTTCATCACTTCACACGCTAAAGACTAAACTTCAGGTTTTGATGTTTGTCCCCTTCAGGGAGCCGTAGTCTCACCTTCAGTAAGTAGTAGTAGTTCATTGCGACGTGTCCAGCGAGGCGGCTCTGGCCTCTGGTTTGATGAAGAAGTCTCCGCTCTGCTGGATCTCCTGTTGCACAAACACACGGCGTCACCTGTGAACAAATGCACCTGAAGCTCAGCCAGGTGAACTCCGACTCACCCCCACTTCCTCCTCGCTGACCGCCTTCGTCTCCTTCACTGATGCTGCAAACACACGAGCAAACACATTCGGTCATCAAACCTGCAGTCAGGTCCAGACCCCCCCCCCACAGAACAAGCAGCTCTGGGTAACTATGACTACATTTCTCACCATTTAATGAAAATCCTGCTTCACCTCATGATGCATTTATACTTCTACAAGTACTTTAACATGCAGTACTTTTACTTTCAGTGTACTTTAACAGTGAGGCCGCCAGGAAGCACGCGGTCCCACATTAACAGACTCGTGACACTTGGACCTCCTGAGAGAGCGGGGGAGGTGCACGAACCGAGACGAACTAACGCACACAGGGTTCAGATTAAGAACTTGGGTAACACGGATCCGGACAAAGTTCGGTAACTTTAAACCGGATATTACATCAAGAACTGCGCGCGACGGAAACTAAAAACCAGTAGTACGAGACGCGGTGCACTAAAGCCGGAACCAGATGCACTAAAACAAGGTCCACTCTAGAACCAGGTAAAGATTTCAGATGTTTGCAGAGAAACGTGGACTCACCTCCTTCTGTGTCCGCCATCTTCAACTGAGCGTCTGTGCGCACAGCGCGGCTTCTTCTTCTTCTTTTTGTAAGATTCCGGCAGTGTAGACGCTTATGAGCGTATTACTGCCCTCCACAGGTCAAAGTTTGAACTAAATTCTTACATACAATCCTGTGTCATGCAAGAATTGAAGGACTGCCTTGAGATCAGTTTATGCTTGTCACTGTGCCCAAACAAAGAGAAAACAGAAAAAGCCTTAACTCCAAGTCCTGACAGTTTATTAAAGAGTACATTTCTTTCTGCCCTATACTTTCTGCATTCCAGGAAAACATGCCCTATTGTCTCAAGACTCCCACATTCACACAAGCCAGAAACATGCTTCCCCACAATGCACAAAGAATAATTTAATCCACAGTGCCCCAACTCAACCTGCACATTTTAACCATGCGGGACAAAATGTTACATAAACATCTCTTCCTAACTTTGGGTTGTATAGAAAAGTAGTGTCTGCCTCTCTGCCAGTTTTTTATTAAGCCCTCTTTAATTTTTTCTGTCAATTCCACTCTCCCTAATAATACATGGACATCTACTTCTCTTCCTAAGCTCTCTTTTGCAATATTATCCACCCGTTCATTCCCCCTCACCCCAACGTGCCCGGGAACCCAGAGTTTTTTTGGAAGCGAAAGTAACCGGTAAAGACTTCAAATAGTAGCCCATGTACCATGTAATTAGAAAGGTGATTTTAGACTAAAACTAAACTAAAACAACGTTTTTTTAGTAAAATTAAGTAGCACTGGGTGTGAAAAAAACACTTCAGTTAAGTGAAATAAAAACAATAACTGATAAAATAATAACTGTTAGGCTGTGAAATGAGGTTTGCAATTAATTTAAGTCCAAATCTTTTATTCTGTCCCAACGGGGAGTTCACCGTGTCACAGCAGCAAGGGAGAAACAAACGAGCAATAGATATCATGAGATATTATCACTGTGTCCAGCAGCAGAATGTGTTATTGAAATGTTTGCCGTGTGTTTCAGGCTGAGTGAGGACATGTGTCGCAGACTTCGGCCTCTCCAATAAGATCTACAGCGGAGATTACTACAGACAGGGCTCGGTCTCCAAGTTGCCGGTGAAGTGGATCGCTCTGGAGAGTCTCGCTGTCAACGTGTACACCACACAGAGCGTGGAGAACTCTGAGATCTACGAGTACCTGATCAAAGGAGAGTGACTGATGAAACCTCCGGACGACATGTGAGTCTAACAATTGGGCTAACGCCTCCCTCAGCTCCGCCTGCCAGGTTCCTCCCTGGTGACCCACCGTCACACCGATCTAAAGTTTTAGCGAGCGCCTAAGGACAAAAAAACAGCTCCAAAATGATCATAATTGGGGGGGAAAGCGTAAGAAAAGCTCTCCCAATTCATTTTAATAGCCATTTATCAAGCAGAAACAAACTTAAATACGACATCGTTGCCTTCCAGCAGCCTCCTCCTCTCCTCTCACGGCGCTGCATCCTAATTAGTTACATATGTTTAACAGAAATCTGCCAGGGGCCGCCCCAGGTTTTCTGTCTCCGTCATGTGGTCCAGCTCTGGTTTGTCTTGTGCAAAACAAGTCTCTTGTTTTGAAGGAGCAGTTTCCTGTGCAGCACAAACCAACTGCAGGTATAAACCTGCTTTTATCCAAAGCGACTTACAATGTCTACACGTGTCAGAGGTCGCACGCCTCTGAAAAGTCTCACCCAGGGACACAGTTATCCACTGCTCCATCGCCCCATGGAGAGCATTGTTCTTGCACAATAAATTATGACTGAAAACAACCCACAAAAATAAAACTGCTGTTTTGTCCTACTGGAATGAATATTATAGGCTACTGATGCTAAGCTACAGTAGCCTGTGCAATGTTGCGGTCCATGGTAATGATAATCAGAAAATGGTTTTATTAGTGAAACAGCTGAATCTCAACTGATGAACTATCTGGAGTCAGATCATAGCAACAGTCTAGTTAGTCTATAGCAACATCACCTTCACTGTCTGTACCTCTGTGTGTATATTGTGTAGGCTGCCTCCTTCCCCTCTCTCTCTCCTTACATCCCTCTTTTTCTCTCTATTCCTCTCCTGCACTCTCTCTCTCTCTCCTTCACCCCCAACCGGTCGAGGCAGATGGCCGCCCACCCTGAGCCATGGTTCTGCTCGAGGTTTCTGCCTCTTAAAAGGAAGTTTTTCCTTGCCTCTGTCGCCTAGTGCTTGCTCTTGGTGGGAACTGTTGGGCTTCTGTAAATATCATCACAGAGTACGGTCTAGACCTGCTCTTTTATGAAAAGCGCTGTGAGATAACTGTTGTTGTGATTTGGCGCTATATAAATAAAATTGAATTGAATTGAATTGAATAGATCATCTAACATGATACTTTCTAACGTACAGCTCTACTCCTCCAGGTTGTG